GTTTAAAAGGAGATGGTCATTAATCTTGCCTTTCCTTTCCTTGGTGGCAAACATTCCTTCGTTGCATCTTCTTCTTTAAACTCTTTCTTGTATTTATTACATCATTGCGTTTTATTTCAACTATCTTCCAGATTATTAACCTTGTTTTCTTAACTGAGCTCTACTCACCATATTCCTATCAGTATTTCACAATTGATTGATCAGTGGGTGGCGATCAATGTCATGCGTGTCTAGTCCGTATTAGAGCAGATCGAATGCTATCGACTGTGAAGCTAGGTAACACGAGATCGAATCCGCCAGGGAGCACCAGTTCCCTCAAGATTACAGGTACACCTTGCTGAAGAGTGCCAAGTAACACGAAACCCGGATCCAGGGTTTCCTGTCGATTACCTCCAACCACCATCTATCAATATTTATTCATTATGTAATCACTTGTTTCTAGCCGTTTGAACTGTTGTCACAATCAATGTTGTAGAATGTTCTTTCATCACATAAGGTATTTATTTACCATATTCATTCTATTAAATTTATTCGCACCCTTGCTATACTATACTAATGTATCATCAATATAACTTCTAATCAAACTCTTTTATGTAAGTAATTTAAACCCATTATATGTAACTATGATTTTAAATATCACAGGTTGTAAGCAGTTGACGAGAACTAAACGAAATAAAATGAATTCATGCTATTCTGTTAGAATCTTTTTTCTTGCGATTTTCAATAAATAATCCCTGGAAGTTACCATTCATTTATCTTTTCCGAACAAGACAGGAATGTTCTATTACCTACTACTGTGGTTCTATGTTAAACTGTTGACAAACAATGATCAATTTAACTAAACAGCTAGGTAGTGAAGGTAAATAAATCTGATTATTGTATACTTTAGATAAATATATCGTGTTGAGTATTTCGCTGATTTCCTGATTTTTGGGAGAACTAGACACCATCCAAATTTTCACGTGACAACCCAATTAGTACGGCCAATCACGTTTTCAAGAGAACTAGGCACTATCCGGGCTTAAACTTTATAACCTGAGCAGTACAACTCGATCCCGCTTCATAGGACAACCAGACACCATATAGGCCTTAACGCCACAATCTGAATAGTACAGCTCAATACTGTGGCGTGACCACACAGATACCAAGCACCCTGGTGGAACAGCTGATTTAAAAGATCGAACCTTAACTATTTGAATCGTTTTGTTACTAAATTTCAAATTGACAACTACTGTTTTATACAGGATCACAATATTTTAATCTAACCTCTGAAAATACGACGAAAAAAAAACTCAAAAGACTACCTTCTAGAGACTTATTACTTCATCCTATTTTATCTCTTAAGAAAAAAAAGTGACCTAAATTTGTGGATTTATTTACCACCTAACAAGAAAACAAATAAAACAACTACACTGAATAGTTCACCAGGTAAGTGAGTATGCGAGACGTAGTAAAGTTGAGATGTATTGATACTAATTATTGGATCAAATTGATGTGGGGTGGGGTTGGAATATAGCACCTTGTGACTGAAAGTCAAACGTTCAAAAGAATAAGTTGTCGATCCACAAGAAACGGATCCTTCGAGCATTCAGTAGTAGAGGAACCAACATTCTTTTATGAAATTTCTCGTTCATTATTGAGGAGTGAAATATAATTGATACTATGCGCTTTCTGGTTATTTAATTAATATCGTTTTATGACGGAAATCACCGTTTACACTAAAAAGTTATCTTCGTTAAACAAACATTTAGAAGTTATAGTATAAAGTGTATTCTGTAAGCAAAATTACTAAATGAAAGCTGATTTGTATGTTTTTTTTTTCTCGCGTCAGATACATATTTCCAACAGACAGAAATCCTTCATAATGATTATGTAACTCTATTACCAGGTTAAGAATGATTTGGATACAAAGAGTATAGTGTTTATAATTTCACATTATAAGTGATACAATGCGATGGTCTTTTTGAAGAGTTAGTTATATAGATTTCTTGAAATGTCTCGAAATGGATTATGAAATCAATAAGTTGTAATAAATGCACCTCATAAAAATAAGACATCGATGAATGATAGATATAACAATTGATAATAATTATGTAAACATTAATCAACTCGAACTGATGTACGTACGTACGAAGTTCCACGTTGCTGACTGACTGATTAGTTCTGCTTAGTTATGAAGATAATACATGTTGAAGATTATCTCATATAGATATGACGTAACTATGGGTTGATTTGTGCTCATTAAAAAAAATAGTGTGTTACGATTGTATTACTTAATAATAGAAAAAATTTGCAAATTAACAACATCAACAGATGAGAGTCAAGTTAGTCGGTTAATGATCATTTATTATTTATTTGAACACATAAATATTAGGACAAAGGAGCATCAAATACATAAGTGCCACACACGCCATTTGATTTGTATGTGGGCTGTAATACTGCCCTAGTGTCTTGACGGGAGCAGGTGTTTTAATTAGGCCATACCCGGAGCCTTCGACCTAAACATCTGACCCACAAGACGACGGAGCAACATCAGGAGATGCTGTCCCACGGTAGCCGGTGATCGATGATTAGTTCATACGCCATTTGTTCCTTCAGAATCCTGGAGTCTATGTGTACTATGGGGTTGTAGTCAGGGTTTTCTAACTCTTCTAGGCGGGTCCTCCACATCCACCAACCCGGTTAAATCGCCGGGCACTCGCATTTCGTCTTCTCAATTTCGTAAACATCCCCGCCACGAGAATGCAGTGATTGTATGCACGTGGCCATGTGCGATCATTTCGAGAGGAAGAGCTGCCTCTCCCCAATCTCGGCCGTACCAAGGCATCATAACCTATGGTCGTAGATCGTAAATAAAACAATTCGAATTGGGTGGCTGGCGGTAATGTAGATATATTTGCTATTTTAGATTGAGTTTTAATATATAACTTACAAATCCGAATTTTTGTATTTAGTAACCTGTTTTCCATGAATGTTACTATTCGTTTAAATCATTTACAATTCAACAAAGGTATTGTGTTATTTCTCAATTATCTACAGATGTGCACTGTTAATAAACCAAGATAGAGATCCATTATTTCTAGGTTTTTTAATAGGTTGTCAGCTGGTATTAATGTGACCAAAGCCAACTATGATTTATCTTCATACACCTCCCATCTACGCTAAATTACAATTCACTAATCAGGACGAGCCACGCTGGAACAGATGGATTTACTCTATTTCCTATGAGTCACATTATTCCTCCACTTATAATTTTTATTGTCTTTCCAAATCATACTCTCAAAGTTAAGTCATTCTCACTACACATATTACTTACTTTGTTAACTTTATCTCGTCATCCCGTCATATTATAGAAACTTAGAGTAACAAACATTTATGTTACACTCTACCTTGACTGAATTGACGATTGCATACATTCATTTACTTATTCAACTTACGAAGGATCTTAAAGAGGCGAAGTAATGAATGCCAGTTATGATCGAGTTAAATCAATAGAATCACAAGATTAAGTTCCCAAACAGTAAAATAAGCATCCAAAATGGTTTTAAAAAATGTACAGATACTTCTTTTCAACACAACGTCCAAACCATACCTCATACAAAAAACTGCGGGTAATTTATTGGAGTTAAGAAAACAAAATGACTTTCAATTTATACCCTAGTGAATTAACTGACGGATTTTCCGCAACAATCGTTACCTCGGCCTTCGCAACCTAACAGATTCCCACTGCTTTTGGTCGCTCTATCTTACACACTGTGGTAATCGCTAATTGTATTGTCATCTCACTAGGAATTTCACCACTCTTCCTTACTTGTATGAATTAAAAAGTTGCTATGTATAAGTATCTCTGATTAAGCAGTCATGCCAGGTCCTGTCTTATATCAACATACTCTCGGGTCTATTAGTGACCAATAAAAATGGACATTGCTGATGTGAGTTCTCGGGCGAAAAGAAAACAAGTAATAATCACTTAGTGTAATTTTATTGCTTGGATTGTTCAGTAAACAATAGTAGTGATATACACTTATTTTATCGAGCTAGTATTGAAGAGCGTTGGCGACCGTAGCACACAATGCGGAACTTGAGGATCTGTTAGAAACAATTGTGTTGTAAATAGATGTAATTCAAACGTATTGCAAATACCTTCGTTTAGAAAACTCAGTGATCTAGGTTACAAAGAATACATACATTAATGCGTTACGTCTGTTTGGCTCTTCTTACAGCAATGTGATTCGGTCATTTACTTGGTTTTCAAATTAGAAAGACGAAACACGTCACCAGATAACATTTCGTTGATGTACTTGTATGTTGATTACATGTGCAACAATATCAGTAATCCAAGAAAAACTATTAAAAAAGAAGCACCTTATACTTCACTCAATAAACTAAATGTTATTATGCTAACTGCTTAAACTTTTAGAATTCAGGTTGTAGTATTTGCGCTGGTGGGGGCTATATGAATTGAATGAACTCGACTGTAAATGCTATCTTGACGTGGTATATTGGTTAAAACAAATGCTCCTTTAAACTCTACTATACCAGGCAGGTCGATTGGAGAACGGTAAGATTAAAAGCAGTAAATTAAGGCACGATGGTGAAGTCGTACAGCCGAGTGCAAAGGGGCGCTACGGCAGTAAGGTACTTCCCTCGGACAGTGATGTTGTATTCTCACAACGAAAAGGGTTAGAAAAGGTCAACCCTGAAGTGTCACACCTCACTTTACCCATGGATTTTAGTCTCCAGCGGTAAGGCCTGTCGAAGTGCGGAGCTAACAGTTCAAAAAAGTCCCACAGAAATTCCATAAGTGACCGGGCTCAGGAGATCACGCTCCCAGATCTCTATGGTCACCAAAAGTCCGGTTTTTCAGACCCCTAAAGAAGAAATATCCCTCCGCCCTTGTACTTCTAGCAACAACCAAGATCATCTTATTCACGATTAAATCCCTCCCTCGACTAACTAAAAGAACCCGAACAAACAGAATATATTTGAAAAGAAAAGAGTAATAGGCCAAACAGCCTAAAAAGTAATAAGTACTTTATTTTCCATAGCGTAAATATACAAAAATCCTTTAACCGTCAGAGAAGCCCCATAAAGTGGAGTTAGAATTTATGGACAACCTTTGAGTGATGTCATAGTGACCTTGAGAAGTTGCACCAACTTAAAAAGGTCTAAATAGGTTTATGAATTAGTGTGAGAAGTCAGAAGTTGATGCCAAAATCTATAACTCGCTATTTGAAATCTGATTGGTTTGTCTATAAATTAAAACCTCACTAGAGAAACACGTGGAATCCTCAAATGAATTTTCGATATACACAAATCCTTTGAAAGATAAAATCAGGCATCTATCTGGAATATTTAATGTAAAGACAATGACGGAGGTAGATATAATAGTTGTATTCCTTCTGGAATATGAAATTGTTGAGTTGATCCAGAATTTGATTGTTTATCACGCCTAGATATTAATTTTGATTCTAATATATTAATTTGATTATCAATATTCACTTCAGATGTTAAATGATTTAAGTAAGATGAAGCAAGAAGTTCAGCATCTAAATTTTGATAAATAAACAAAACTATTATTATCTTACTAGATTTCTCTTCTAATATACGAATCTCTTCGATAGTTATATGAGAATATTTACACAATGGACCATAAGCGCATGTACCAGAATTACGAAATGTTATACATGGTTTCTTTGCTTTCTCTATACTAAGTTTTTCTTTAGGATCTATATATATATTTATAAAATGAAATCACATTTCATAATTTATAATCCTACCAAGAAATTTATCATAATGTAATTTACGAGCTTGTTGATGTTGTACACCTTTAAGATGATTTCTTCGATTAATTGGATTATCTGGAAACGATTTGTCACAATAATCACAGATAAAACGTCTACCCATTCACAAGTCTTACCTATAAAATAATAAAGAAGAATAAGAATAAGGTAAACTATGTAATCTAATCACAATTGACTGATCATGCGTGTCTAGTCCTTATTCAGTGCAGATCGAATGCTATCGATCATGTTGCAATGTGGTTATCAGTCTAGGTAGGTGACTCGACACTGCGGGCACTATATATTGACTACCTGGTTGGAGACCGCGAGATGATAACAACCGATGGTTAGAGACCCTGAATGACATGGCCCAAAATCGTTTGCAATGGCGCAGGTGCATCCACTCTCTGTGTTCTCCCAAATTCTAATCTTCTGAATTCTTCATGTCCCTTTTTTCCTCTTTCCAAATTTCTTTCACTGGATTATACTCTTTAAATAACATCTCCAAACCCTAATCTTCCCGATTACTGCTTATACTCTTATTACCTCTACCACTACGGGATTTGAATCGACAACTACATCTCTGTGCTAATGTGGTGTGGCAACTCGAACTGATGTACGTACGTACGAAGTTCTACGTTGTTACTGACTGACTGATATTGAGATTAGATGGTGGTTGGAGGTAGTCGACAGGAAACCCTGGACCCGGGTTTCGTGCTAATTGGCACTCTTCAGCAAGGTGTACCTGTAATCTTGAGGGAACTGGTGCTCTCTGACGGAAGCTGGGTGACACGAGATCGAATCCGCCAGGGAGCACCAGTTCCCTCAAGATTACAGGCACACCTTGCTGAAGAGTGCCAAGTAGCACGAAACCCGGGTAAAGGGTTTCCTGTCGACTACCTCCAATCACCATCTATGTAATCTAAATACAAAAAACAGTATAAATCATTCATTCTTTTATTGTAAAACAAAATCTATTATAAAAAGGAATTTATTATTAGTTTTTTGTCTCTCTTTGAGAGTAGATTATTGTATTCTCTTATTTTTACATATGCTCTCCTAAACAGATTCAGTAATATAGAAGATAATTGAATGATGTATATGATTTGTTCAGTAATAAAGAAAGAAGAAGAAAAACAAACAAATAATCCACTTGGATGTATACACATACATACACACACATGCATATATGAAGACAAATAGTGAAAACGAAAACGGGTAAATTGTCTAACAATTACCAAGGAGATAAGCTTGTTTTTACAATCAAACAACAATGACAATTAGCACAACAACAACAACAAATAGAACTATTGTTTTAAAAAGATTCTAACCAAACAGTAGAACTGACGGGAAAAAAACCTTGGACAACCTGTACATTTAAACGTTTTGATTTGAAAAGACAATGAGGTTCAAAGACTAAAATGTGAATACAATGAGAAAAAGATTAAATTGAAAAAGTAACACTTTTAAGATGAAATTAGTTCATACACAGAAATATATATGTATATATTCATGTAGTAATGTAAGAAAAAACGGGGGGTGAAATGTTTGAATTAAATAAGCAAAATACACATATTCGTAGAAATGTTGGTGAAAACAATTGTCAAGTTGCTTTGGTTGAATATAAATGATCTTCTCTCATTAACTAGAACCGGTTGCATTTTCTTCAGAACCCAACCTGTAACAAAGTTACAAATGAAGTACGAAATAATTAGTAGGCTTAAGATGAAATTGAAAAATCGACAAAAGTACGACAACGAAATCGATTAAAGGTAATTTACACACTTAACGAATTGAGTTAAAGTTCAAACCCGTTGTCTTTTAAGTATGGCATTCGAACGTTGCTAATCTGACGTAGCCGCTTGAAATGATTCACATGTGATTAGTTGTACGTTTCATACGATCGATTGACTAACTTTAGGACGTTTACTAAACAGGTTATACTTCAAAACTTCGTAAAACTGAAGCATGAGAATGGAACCGAATCAAAACTAGATAAGTACTAAATTCAGATGCACACTTTAACTACTTTTTTTCTCGAATCGGACTAGCTTCTCGAGGACGCCCAACTCCGAATATCGCACGGGCACGCTCTGATAATTGTCGATCATTTGTATTTACAGGGGTCTCTCTGATTTTTAGGTTTAGTTTAGGTCGATCACCACCCGAACCACTACTGGTTGAATCCGTAGAATTTGACTGAGGATTCCTGATACTAGGTTCATTTAATTCCTCTCGTGACAGTCCTGGAGGATGGTAACTTTGTCGTTGTCCACCGAACCCACCCATTCCGCCTCTATTTGGACGTCCATAACTTTCTAGTAGTAAAACATAAACAAGAAATAAAGATTTCTCAAATTCAATTTGGTAACGAAGAATAATTGGTTTAAAATACAAATAAACAGTATATTAGCTATATTTTATATAGATGATAAAAATATTTATCTAGTTACCTAAACTAACAGTGATTGTAACGAATTATGAGCCAAATGATGTAATGACAATTGATAAGCCGAACATCATCGAAATGTTAAACCACTATTACATATTAAACAAAAATTATAGTTTACATTTCATCTGTAGATTATAATATATACGTAATGGTAAAAAGTATTTTAAAACACTGTTAGCGGGACATAGACTGGATTAAAGCATACTCAATGCACGATTGCTTTGGTGCACGCTGATTGGCTAATTCTTATCCGATCAGCACTAGTCGATACTTGGAGAATACTCTGGAATCTTCTCATGTAAAAACTAAGAATAAACTAACGCTTTTCCTACTGTGCTTCTTGCTTCGATCTAACCTTCTTGTTTGGAATATTATCTCTTTCCTGTTCTGATTTGGGGACTTGTCGAGTGATTTGGTGTCCAAGAATACTAAGCAATAGGAATAGCTGGGTTATAACCGTAAGAAAAAGATTATAACAAACACTAAAAAGAAGCAATATGGAAGAGGAATATTTCGAGATTTTTTATTCCTGCTTCGGTTTGGGCACCCGTAGAGTATCCCGGCCCTGACACAGATCGAAAGATTTATGTGGCGCATATCTATTTGGTGCCTCCTCGTACCAATGTTTATGTGTTTATATAATTAAAAAACAAAAACAATCCCTTAATAATTAAAGGAACTCGATTTCAATAGTGTGATGAATTATGAACTGAGTAGAAAACTGAGAGAGCAGTTCAGTTAAGAAAAGTACAAACAGAAAAGACTCAGTTAACGAAGTTTCCCTAACCTATATGAAGAAAGGAACGACATTCATAGTACATCGCTGCTGCACCCATCTAACTCTGCTTATGATGATTTTGACTTGAGGAAATAACGAGGCAATCCACACAGGATGCACATATGCCAATAAGAGATCGATCAGTTGCGGTTGGTTCGGCATATGTAATGTCTATTCCAGCTACCTCACGAATAGGATCCTCATCCTTATCCAGACATTGCCTACTTCATGGTCCCAAAACACAAGGGCAATGCTTCGAAGATACCTATTGTCGAACACTAGCAATCTACGAATATCCTTTATTCCTAATGGCTAATGTTCCACACCCACAAGGTAGAATGGGACGACTTTCAAAAGGGGTCAGAGGTAAGCCATGTGTGGCTGGTGACCCATAGCACCCAAAGACTTGGGGTTCCTTCACGACTCCCACCTCATCAGGTAGGTCGGTCGACATTAGAGTGCAAGTCATAAACCTCTGTAAACTAGGTCGGCTTGAGCTGACGAGTAGTGTCAAGTAAAATGTGGCTGACAGCCGAATATATAAGTCTGTGTTTTAAATGGATTATATTATCTTACTATTTGTAAAGCACTGATGTTAACGGTTTGGCGTGTTCTTTTAAAAAGGAACCTCAGTGTGTTTAGTCAAGAGATCCCATAGACTTTGATCATTACGACCATGCTGGTAGATATTGTTAAGCTATCAATAAACGGATGAGTAACAATTATTCAGTTTACAGAGATTTACACCTTTTAATTCCATCAAACACGTTTGTTAAAAAATATACATCCATTTTATGCATAACACATTTAAGTTAGGCCGAATAATCCTGCTTAGCATTACACTTAGAAATGACTCATAGTTTTCATTGTTTTGTTCTGTGGTTCTCTTATATCCTTTGTTTGAATGCGAAAACCTTAGAATCAGAAAATACATCATAACCGAACTTCAGCATCCCAGTTAAGTTACTCGAATGCACATTTTCAATACCATAAAAATCATGCAGAACGATTAAAAATACTTAGTGAATGTTTTGGGGGAAAATGAATATCCATGTGAATTAATCAAATTAAGCTTATCCAAGTCACCAGTAAGTAATTACAAAATCATCTGTGGTGAAAACGAAACAATCGAGTCCTATTCTATATGGAAAATGTCTGGGATTTTAACCACACTAAAAACAACTTTTGGAATACTTATAGCTGACAAACCCAAAAAGCTCGATCCTATTTACAGACATAAATTGATCGGTACAGTGAGTCGGAAAGATAAACCTATTAACCAAACCAGATGAAAATTCACGAAAAAAAACAGTATGCCCACCCATCCGTCCACCACCCATGCTAGGTCTACCACGTCCCTGATTTCCAAAGCCACCACGTCCTTGATTTCCGAAACCACCGCGACCATGACTACCGAAACCACCACGTCCTTGATTTCCATATCCGTTGTTCATACCCCATTGACCCTGACCACCACCACCACCTTCAGATAGTGAAAGCATGATAATGCAAATACAGCAAAACATGTGACAGTACAAGTCATCAAAAACTTGATTAAATTTCTGGTTACAGAAGACGGGCACACAAACCCATTAAAATAGCTATTGTGAATGCCATGTTAATAATAGACGGTAATTGTTAGATTCTCTATCCACCTTACTTTTTCGACATTGTAGAATATTGGGTAGTGACCCATACTACCTGTTTATTATTTGTGTATACACAAACCTGCTGTAGCTGAGAACCAATCGCAGAAAGGCTAGTTCAACTGGGTATTGTAAACTCAAGTTACCAAGGTTTCCTGTTGTAAATAAACTATAGTAGACTAAATGCGCTGTAGCGTTCTAGGTGGCGAGGATCTAAACGTACCTTAAACTACAAGTTGACTGCGTTCGTATTAGTGAATAA